CCCATTTCCCCCCCACCTAGCGACGCCACTGGTGTGCTCTTCGGCCAATTTGGCTGGTGCCTTGGGGTTGATTCCCAGTTGGCCCTAGGCCTAGGTGAGCATGGAGTAGGTTAGTCAGGTGCCTTTGAGGTTGAATTGCCTGTAAGAGGCCACATAGGGCTCACTACGTGATGTTGCTGTTTCCCTTCCAGGGGCACAGTATCCACCATAGTCATCTTCCTCCTTTCCTCCTGGTATCACAGCTTCAAAAGAGAAAAATTAATGTTGTAAACCTTCTGACATCTATTACATTCCTATACATTTCAATTAACCCCTTTTGACATCTATCCTATACAATCAAATTGACCACACCACCTCTACCAAGTAGCCAATGTGTGTATGCACTGCACAAATCACATTAAATAATATTCTATAGTGCAACAATGAGTTATGCCCCCTTGGCGTAACAAATGGAATTTATCAAATCCTGGAAGACAGCTGGTATGTTACAGAATTCCAATGACATGACCGTATACTCGCAATGTCCACTTCTGGTTTTAAAGGCTATCTTTAGTTAATGACCATGTTTGATTCTAACCAGGTATAAGCACCTCGTAGACTGAGTTTTGTAAAGAGGGTGGCACCTTTTAACCTAAGCGGAATGGGATAAACATTACAGATAATTATCTTATTTAATCCCCAGTAATCTATGCATGGTCTTAAATCTCCTTCTTTCTTGGAAATAAAAATGAAACCGGCAACTGCAGGTGAGGTTGACACGTGGATAAAGCCTTTTATTAAGGCTCTTAGATGTACTCCTCCACAGTAAGTTGTTTGTTTTTTTTGTAGCCGTTTGGTTACTGGAGCCAGCCATCTCGTTTCTGCCAGGACGGAGAATAGGAGGTCACTGTACAATGTGATCTGGTGTCCATCACAGTTTACTTTACCCATTGTTCTGGATTGATTCAGAATCGACGTTTTCGCAGAGATGTCTCTTGTATCCGCAATAATGGCCCTTGGTGGGGGGCGTGGCCTGGATGTGAACACGAGCGGTCGCATGTTCTGCTAGCTCCGCAAAAGTGAAGGCCCTCATACTACTTTGAAGACCCAAAACTGTGAAAATTGAGCACCGAGGCAAACATTAACCATGTCCCACAACAAAAGTAAACGAGCGTCCGACAAACAGGACAAATTACTCTTCTTTAGCGCCAAACAGGGGCAAGCTCGAGGAACCGTTATACCGGAGGAATCCCAAGATGGCGCAGAAACGGAAGGCGTCCGGGGTATGCACACTGAGACTACAAGCCTCATGCTTACCACGGAGGGGCTGCAGGCTATGTTTGACGATATGGCGGCAAAACTGCAAGGTACGCTGCAGCGATCGTTTACAGACCTCCGCGCGGATATCCATAAATTAAGTTCCCACACCTCAGGCCTGGAAAACCTAATGGAGACGCAAACGGAGGCACACAACCGTCTAACCACAAAAGTGGAAGAGGTATGGGACAGGCTAAATGACTATGAGGCCAAAATCGCGGACATGGAGGACCGCGCACGCTGCAGTAACCTGAGGCTGCGGAATGTGCCCGAGAGCATAGGCCCTCCTGATCTGCCAGCCTACGCGACGGGGCTCTTCCACATATTCGTACCCGACCTACCACAAGATGTCCTGTTGATGGACCGCATTCACAGGTTGGCGAAACCCTCATACCTACCTGCAGACATACCAAGAGACATAGTATTAAAAATGCATTATTATCATGCAAAGGAGGCGGATTTCAAGGCGAGCCAAGCCCGCAAAGACATACATGTGGAATACCAGAAGATCGAAATCTTTGCAGACATCTCTGCCATGACACTGAGAAAAAGGAAGTCATTCGGCACCATCACAGAAGCCCTACGCAGTAACAACATCGCGTACAGGTGGGGATACCCAACCAAGCTACTAATCCAACGCAACGGCGCTCTCACAGTCATCGTATCCCCAGAGGAAGGCCTACAAAAGTTACAGGACTGGGGTATCAACCCACATACTGAGAAACCGAGACCTGCACCTAACGGGCGACAACCCTCTGCATGGAAGAAGGCGCGCAAATAGCCACCTGACAATGGTGCTCTCACGAACTTTACCAATGTCCGCAAGTATATCTTGTTATTGCATTATACACAGCAGCAACGTATAGCCATCCCTTCTTCTTACCATCCCACAAGGTACAGAGGCAGTTACAAAGATACAACAAAGTGTGAAGTAGAGCTTGTTTACTAATGTGATGCCTCATGGATGAGGTAAACAGTTAATACTCTTCAACATTGTTAGAAAAACTGTAATGTACAACACAATACTTGATCATGCCTGCATTACTTGATGGTACCCCCCTCCCCTATCTTCCTTTCTGTACCCCAACACGTACTTGAAAAAGTTAATAAAAATTGTCAAACTGACAAAAATGTCCCTTGGTGCAGACCCTATACAGCAACCCAGTGGCCAAGGTGGTGGGGGGATGTTTCACCTCTGTCCCATTCAACATCTCCAATGGCTCCAGGCAGGGCTGCCCCCTCTCCCCCCTATAGTATTGAGAGTCTAGGTAGACCTGTACGATGTATAAGAAGTGTGTAGTTTAGGACTGGCTAGGCACAAGATGATAAAGAGTAACATGCTTGGCTATTCTTTAGCATAAACAATAATAAAACATACTAAGTATGCATGTATGCACAACTAAAAAATAAACATGATGTGTATGCATGAAAGAATTGCCATAAAGAAGACTAGTTAGGTGTGCATGATTAGATGAAAACTCACTACACTAATAAAGAAACCTGTGACACTTGAAGACAGACAGGAGGCAAATAACAGGGGGCACCTCGGGGTAAACAGGTCAGCAACATCTACATGGTCAACATTTAAGTCCTTTTAAAATCAAAATAAGCACACTTCTCTCACTTCTGGTGCATGATTCCATTGATTGAAGGTGGTGTAGTGGGTGAGTACCCACCAATGCTCCTCCAGAAAAGGTTAACGACTGGGACCTCAGAGGCTCCAAATGACCACATGGTTCCACTGCTTGCTAAGGCTTTGCATGTTGATGTAGGGTATGTTTAGAGGGCTCTGGGCTCCTTAATTTTGGTCTGGACCCCAATTTTGCCCAAAATTTGGCACATAGATGGTCAGATGCTTCCGGGAGTGGGAGTCTGGGGTCCGAGCCAAAGCTCCAAAAGCTGGGTAAGTAACGTGTGGAGAGATCGGCCGCTTCTCACGCACTAGGCTGCAGCATGGCACATGAGCAAAACTATCATAGGTGCTCAGGAGTGCCCCTAGATTGATTGCACCTCAGATCCACAGGGTTACTCAGGGTTAGCGTCTCTAACATCCACCAGCTCCGTGATGTCGTCATGGAGGAGTGTCAGAGGACTCCAGTTGGCAACATGTGAAGCTCTGGTGAACTCCATACCCATTAAGGTTAAGGCAGTGCTGGAAAATAATGGTGGTCACACAAATTATTGACACTCTGGGCCCAGTTTGGACATTTCCACTAAGGGGTGTACTCACGTTTGTTGCCAACAGTTTAGACATTAATGGCTGTGTGTTGAGTTATTTTGAGGGGACAGCAAATTTACACTGTTATACAGGTTGTACACTTACTACTTTACATTGTAGCATAGTGTCATTTCTTCAGTGTTGTCACATGAAAATATATAATAAAATATTTACAAAATGTCAGGAGTGTACTCATTTTTGTGAGTTACTGTATATGACATATTTATATTAAAAAATATACTTTTGTGAAAACTGTAACATTAATAAATAACATAAAAACAAACTTTCAGTTACTAAAATTCATCATATCATTAATAATACACAATTTGTACTATTTAAAAATTAATATTTAAATGGCACAAAATCACTTTTTAAATAGTAAAATGTATTTTCCAGTAAAGAAATTAATCACTTTTCACCTAATTCTAATGTATAATTTTTAGAAAGATTAGTACAGAAAGAGACTAAAAAACGGTGGAAGATCACTTACATATATATAACACAACGTATTGTACCACGTGGCCTTGGGCTACAAAAACTTCCAGCCTTTGGCCAGGAAGATCAGATGTTCATGGTGAAATGGAATAATGCATTAAAAAAAAATAATGTATTAGAAAGATTCCTTATACAACTTATGGAACGTCTCGATGATTTTCAACAAGAGACTTTTAAAGATCTACAAAAATACATACAGGAGATTGAGAATGAAATAGAGAGAAAAGTAAACCATGAAATTATAAAACAAAATAATATCAGTATAAAGAAAAAACTGAGAAATTGGAAGAACAAATTATAGTAAATAAAAGTAAAACGTTAATAATAGATAAATGTAAACAAAGCTCCGGGGCCTGACCACGAATACTTAAGGAGCTAAGTATGGAAATAAGTTAACTTTTTTTTAATCTTTCAGGATTCTTTTCTTTCAGGAATTAACACTACATCCATTCTTTTTTGGAACCAGTCTACTTGGCAGGACTGATTGTGTGTATAGATTTGCATGATTTGGACTTTTTGCACATTGACACTTTATACATAGTAGCACTTTTGGTATTTGTTTTCACACAAAAATAGTGTTGCTTGGGTAAAAAAATATATAGTTATAGGGTGTATATGGTAAAACAAGCTATAATTATATTTGTTTTTGCATGTTTTGTGACATTTTATTCCTTTCTCAATTCCTAAAATAACTTATTTACAGAGGCCTCCTGGTAGCAGATCGGATGCAGTGATAAATGTGGAGTAATCTGCGGAAGGAGTTCTTTGCGATGGTTGTTGATGGCTCTAATTGATCCAGTTGTTTCCTTTATAAAGTTGCCCATTGCATTGCGCCATGTAACAAAAGTAGTTCTATGTTTGCAAACAGGTTATATTAATTGCTCCTAGTGTGTGGATTCACTCTTTGTATTGTTTATTGTAATAATCCCCAATGTGCACACTCCTCAGCATACAGGAGGAGCTCCCTATCACACCGGTCTGACTAGTTGGGAGCAGGACACCTCCCAGGGAGGGAGGGACTGCTATACACTGAAATCCCAATAGGGCACGGGGGCTTGGAGAGAGTTTAGAAAGAGAGGGGCCGTGAGGCAGCCGACACCATGTGTGGGAACAGTAAGTAAACTTTAACTGGACCCATAACATAATATGTGTGATAGAACGTTAAACACTTTGGAAAGCTCAGTACCGTCACCCACTGCAGATTTCAGTGGTAGCTATTGCATGTCTTAGAATGATGTACGTGCTCACTGGCAATACACCTTTCTGCACTGCCCCCGGTACAGGCTGTCTAAAACGCAAAATTGCCCCTGTACCTCGTTGGTAAAACCCCCGACCAGGTCACATATATCAGAGGTCTTGGGGGTTATTCAAAGTGCTTACTTAGCATAGCACACATAATGCAGTTGATTTTTGTTTCTACCACGGAAGAAAATATATATGGCATTAAATGCAAAAAATAATTTATATCATCACCGATTTTAAAATATATCGCTTAGTACATCACGGCAGCATATGTTGGCGCTTTATAACTATGAAACCGTGTCAGTGCTGAAGCTGCTGCATAGGACTTGTTTAGTATATTTTAATTCTTCTCTCTGACCTTTGACCACCTAGTGATTACAGTTTGACAAAATAAAAGAAACATGTTGGATTCCATTAAAAAACAAACAAGCCTGGCAGCAATTTGTATGGCAAATTATATAAAATCTTGTTGTGAAACACCCTTACAGGGACTTGGCTTTTAGACACCTTATATTGTGAAGGAAATCATTTGTATAAAATATGATTCATAAAGAGCAGAGAACTGGTTGTTCGAGTTTACAGAAGGCTCAGTGATACTCTGCAGCCTGTGACATTCACTTTGATTTGCCTTCACTAAAGGAATAGGTAGCTATTCAGGGGTAATGTCCTATGCCCCCATTATCAAGTGAAATCCCTTTATCGGTCACCAAAGCTATGTGTGGCCTCACTTAAAACAACATTCTGTTAATAATTACAGCCTGTGTATATACTAACGTTGCATCCCATCCAGACCATGAAAGGGAAAAGATTGATGCTTCCTACACAGTCAGTGCCAAAGCATTAGCTATAACCCCTCCCCCCATTACCACTGGCCCTGGAGTGTTGGTCTGTCCACTCAGCAGTCTCCCAGTACCTCCCTCATCAATGGCATATCTCTTGCACTGACCTTTTATTTAGTTAATAGTTCTTTCCACCCCCACATCTTTATGCGATTATATGCATAGCCACAATCTCCATTCTTCACCATTATACTAAGTGCCCACTGGAATTCAGCCTTTTCAACTACTTCTTAATATATAGGAATCTTTACATCACCTCACCCAACACCAACATCCCAAAATACAGGCTGCTGTGGTTATTTGTTGTAGGAATGTCAGAGTTGGTCTACCTACCTTGTTTGTGTGTGTGTGTGTGTGTGTATGTATGTGTATATATATATGTGTGTGTGTGTATGTATGTGTATATATGTGTGTGAGTTTATATATATATATATTTCAACACTAAATTGGAGATAATTGAAAGCCAAACTGCAAAGATTGCCCAATTGCCGATGTGACTATGGAAGAGCTGGATATGTTTTTTTCAAATCCATTACTTTAGCCTATATTTTGACATTTGGCTTTAATGCACTACAGTTCAGTATATAGTGAATAAACACTACTTTGTTTTATCTTTTGCTTCTCTACATCACTTTTAATTGTAAACCTCATTGAGGGACCAACAGCATGCTTATATGCTGCACCGACTCTTAACTAGAACTAAAGAGATGCATTGCTGAGTTCTAATACCTTTTTAATTAAAGGGACACTCCAGGCACCCAGACCACTTCTGCCCATTGGAGTGGTCTGGGTGCCAACTCACACTACCCTTAACCCTGCAAGTGTAATTATTGCAGTTTTTATAAACTGCAATAATTACCTTGCAGGGTTAACTCCTCCTGTGTGCGGTGAGGAGCAGGAAGAAGGACCCCAGGGAGACCTCCAGCGCCGCTAAAATCCCCATAGGAAAGCATTGAAAGCATTTTCAATACTTTCCTATGGGGAGGTCTAATGCATGTGCGCGGCATTGTTGCGCATTAGGTCTCCCCCACCAGCGAGCGTCATCTGTCTCCCCCGCCGGATGACGTGGGGATGGGGAGGAGCGTGGACGGACCAAGAAGCAGCGGCGAGGGACATCGTCGCTGCCTCTGGTAAGTCCCCTTCAGCAACCGGGGATGGGAGGTTGGAGGGAGAGGGGACCTGCAGTGCCAGGAAAACTGATTGTTTTCCTGGCACTGGAGAGTCCCTTTAATGGGACACTCCAAGCACCATACACACGTATGTTCTTTACATTTGTGGTAGAATGAACTTATTGTCTTCTTTCAGCTACTACCACACCTAGCCATACCTCCCTGGCTGAGATTTACTCAGCATCCTTACACACTTCCTGATACACAATCTACATATTGTAGCTTTCATTATTAGTGTGTTTAATTTAGAATGTCTAATTTTTTGCTCTGTTAATTGACTGCTGGAGCCTGAAGGAGACTTATGTGTCTGATGAGTTAAGGAACATAATAACATTAGGAATGCAAACATGTCCCCCTACTAATTTTGGTTTCTTCAAAACTGTAATGTTTTATATTGCAGGATTAAATCTAAAAGGGCACCCGGACAACTTAATTGCTATGAAGTGGTTTGGGTGCCTTTAGTCCTTTAAAGGTCATTAACAAAGCAGGAGATAAGATCATCTAAAGCAATCAAACTCAGTCTGGCAAAAAAAAAAAAAACCTTACATTTTCATAGAAACGTAGGTTTATTTTAAAAAGTACAGTATAAAAAAAACCCACAACACTACTAAATCCCAGTCCCTCCCCCCCACTAAACCACATCAAGCCCCTCTACCACCCTGTGCCAAATCTGATCCTCCCGCTGACACACACATATTCACTGACAAGCAGAAACACACATACAGACACACTGACACACACATACTCACTGACACACACACACACACACTCGCTGACAGGCATACTCACCGACAGACACCTACATACTCACTGACAGACACACACACATAGACACACTGACAGACACATACTTGCTGACAGACACACACACTCACTGACAGACAGACACACACACACACACACAGAGACACTTACACATTCTTTTCTTTATTGCTCCTTACCTTTTGGAGCCGATGTGGGGCCTCTCCCTGGGGTCCTTCTTCCTGCTCCTCACTGCTCCCTCGCGCGGTTTAATGATGCCGGGTGCTGGAATATGATGTCATAGTCCGGCGCCCGGCTTCACTTCAGACGGCGTGCGCGAGGGAGCAGTGAGGAGCAGAAACACTGTGCTCCCTCGCTGCCACCAGAGACCTCTCCCCCGGCCGGGTAAATGAGCAGAGTAGGCACCTGCAATGTGGGGAGAGCAGGTGTCTACTGTGCTTAGAAAATTAGACATGTATGCGTGGCTCACTGGGCCGCAAAGATGGTCCTTGCGGGCCGCGAGTTTGACATGCTTGATCTAAAGTAAACCTATTGTGCTGTAAGATCTGATTTGAAAATTAAACCCCTTTTTATTCATGTAGGTTGTGTGAGTCACAGCTAGGGTGGGTGTGGCTAGAGCTGCATAAACAGAAACAAAAGTGATGTAATTTTTAAACGGCAGAGAATTAAGCAGTAAGACATAAGGAGCATAATATTTGCATAAAAACTGCTGCATTAAAGGAACCCTCCTCATCCCAGCATTAGGCCTTCCCCATGGGAAAGCATTAATTCAGTGTTGTCTTATGGGGATTTTCAAGATGCTGGACGTCCTAATGCAAAGTGTGAAGACATCCAGCGTAGTTTCTCTGAGTCAAAATCCATGTGAATCGAGGAAGTGCCTCTAGATGATGTCTGTGAGACAGCTACTAAAAGCAGTCTTAACCTGTTAGTTTCTCTAAAAGTAGACAGGCACAAGGCACCCAGGGTACTTTACTGAGATTAAGTTGTCTGGGTGCCTATAGTGTCCCTGTAAGCTAGAGTTGTTTTGGAGCTTAGAGCGTTCCTTTAAACCAGGTTTTAGGCTCTGAAGTTACTGCTTGCTACCCAAACCCTAGTTAATTTCTACATCCAGTGTAGTATTATTGTGGCACGAGCTGCGGCCATTTTTCATGTCCTCCAGCATCGCCACAGGCAACAAGTGCTATGATGCAAATATACCAGTACCTGCTGTCTAGTACTGTGCAGCACACTGAAGGGGGCCAGGCAGGAGACTGTACAAACTGGTGTGCATATCACCAGCTTCCCTGCCAGAGAGCAGGTATACTGCAGCTTCAGCTTTACATCATCTACCCCAGTGTAAGCTTCAGAGGAAGGAGAGAGACTTTTAATCAAAACCTTATGTGTCGAAAGTTCTCCTGTCTACCTCAGGTCTGTAGTAATACTGTTCCTGAGGAAGTGAGGAAAACTCTTGAAAACCTGTCTTCTAAATATTATTAGTCCAATAAAAAGGTTTCATTGCATACTGTAATACTCTGGTTATTGTGGCATCTTACAAATAAATACTTTTAAGTAGTGGTTTTGTAATCTGTAACTTCTATTAATTAATGTTATGGGGGAAAATATATCAAAGCAAAAAAACGTGTTATTTGGGGACAAGTGCTAAATAATGTGCAATCACTGTGGAAACCAATAAAATGTCTTTAAATATTTAGCACTTTACAACCATAAAAACAATATCTTTGATAAATATCCCTAATTGGCTCAAATTGAGCAAATTCTTACCTTTAAAACAGTAATTCACTCCTTACAGTATGTATCATTAGTTTGTACTGTTTGTGTAAACATAATTATAAGCAAACCAGTGGAAATATATTTTTAATATTTTATTAATAATTGTTGTATTATGCACACATATATGGTATCAGGAGAAAGACATATCTATCCTTAAAGGATCACTATAATGTCAGGAAATCAAAGCTGTTTTCCTGACACTATAGTGCCCTGAGGGTCCCCCTCCCGTGGCGCTGAAGTGGTTAAAACCCCTTCGGCCACTTGCCTTAATCCAGCGCCGGACTCCCTCGGCGCTGGTGACCTCTCCTCCCCGTCCAACGTCACTGGAGCCGAATGCGCGGCTCCAGTGACACACGTGCATTCAAAGTGTCCATATGAAAGCATTCTTATATCTGCAGCAATTGCCTAAACTTCAGCATTGTTTAAAGTTGCCGAAAATTGCTTAACACCAATTACTTTGCAGTTGACTAACAGTTTGAGTAGCGACGTAAATGTTGGCGCTGATATTAATGCTATGGTTTTTTTTATGGGGTATGGTTCTAAAAGCAAAACAATGTTGGCAGGATCCCATCCTGACAACCAAGAATTATGTTTCTTTTATTCTGTTTCTTTAAAACAAGTTCCAGTTCCAGTAGTGACCACTAGAACTGAACTTACCTTCATCATCCTCACCTGCATGAACTGACCGCTTATCCTACAAAAGGCTACGTCCTGCTCAATACAGGAAGATGGTCAACCAGAAAGACTTCTGTTCCCGGCTCCTGTAAACATACCTACTTTAATAACGTTCTGCTGAAACCCAACCTGATCTACTTTACCAAGCTTATAAATTCCAACCTGATCTTTGTTACCAACTTTCGTTACCAACCTACTTTATTCCAACCTGAACTACTCTACAATCCAGCTTTATTACCAGCCTACTCCATACCAACCTGAACTACGCTACTAACCTGCTTTATACCTACCTGCATAACACCAACCTGGACTTCGCTACTAACTAATATTGCAAGGTGTTATGTGTTACTTGTATTATCAATACTCCCTCCCAAACAGGTGTGATTCTCTAAACATCTAGTTTACTTGAAATTCTGAAACCTTACTGTTCTGTTCTATTTTACTTGTTTTTCTATATACCTTATACTTTCAACTATAGGTTTTTGCTACTATCTAATTATATCTTGGTAACAACCAATCGGGGCATATTGCCTAAACCTCTATTTCTATTATTTTACCTTCTACCTATTTACCTATAATTTCATTTATAGGTTCACCTCTTATCCATTACCTATAATTTCGTTTATAGGTTCTCCTTTTTTCCTTCCGCCTATAATCTTATTTATTGGATTCCCTGCAACTTTACTATGTCCAAACTCACCAATAAAGAATCTGATGTTAACTATGGCCAAATTCTCTTATCTGACCTGATTAAGATCATGACAAATGTCCGACATCATCACCCTAAGGCTTTATTTTATCATCTTTGCCTTAAATATTAAATGAACAAATTACAAAGGATTTATCATAAGTTATCAATATATAGATAATACTTTAAAAGAACACTCCTGAGCTCTTATTCAACGCCAGTTTATTGCTCTCAGCCAATGAGCCAAGTCCTACACTGTCTGCCTCAGCTCAGAGATGACAGCTTCTAGTCCATATAGAGGTAGGGAGCAGCATCTGGCAGAAAACCGGGTAAGAAGTCAAACCATTACCAAACAGTTTGATTACTTACAATAAACCACAAAAGCATACACAATGTGACAAAACAAAAAGTAAACTATGCCTTTATAGTGCATACAGAAAAAATTATACTTATGAACAAAATTGTATGAGGATTTCAAGTATAGAGCCTGAAACAATAAAAAATACAACATAGTGTACACTGTGAAAACATCCAGATATAAGGATAATTATTGGTTACACTCACTGATTGGAGAGCCGTACCAGGCTCTGTATAATGTGCCTAGAAAGGCAGAAGGAAACCACTTGTAGGTGACTCCAGTGGAGGGATTTCCAATGAGGCTTCAGGAACACCAGGATCAATTGAAAATACATTTATTGGGACAAATATGTGAGAATTAAAACCAAAATACTATCAACATAGGTAAAGCTGAAATAATTTGAAAGTCCTTCAGAGATCAGACGCGTTTCAACTGTCCTGCAGTTTTTCTCAATGTCTCTAATAAGTCATGCGTGTTCTCTGTTTAAATACCCATCAAATTAGTTTTTCATTTGATGCACCCGGATTGATTCCGATCACTGTAGCGTCTGACATAATTTCCGGTCAATAAAATTATAGTCACTTACAGTCGCAGTATTCTGCATCATTTCCTTTACTACTTGGTTTGTAGCATCTCATATTTACGAAACCGCCATTTTAAGTAAGGGCAGTTTGCCCAAATAATGAACTAAACCGTACCAATTATGAGGTTATAGTAGGTAAAGCATCATATCACAAAAAGAATAAAGCAAAAGATGCAGTAGAACGTGTGACGAGTTACATAGTACTGGGCATACAAATCCAATATATAAGGTATATTGTGGCAGACTTAACGACCTATTTTGTGTTTTTCCCCTCATTTAGTTTGTTTTACCCTTTTTCCGTTGGGGAGTACTTCATACAAACAGTATCCATTTGTCTCCCGAATGAGGACCACCCCTGTACTCCATTAGAACGTTCACACCAGCAACTTAAGTGCGAAACCACAAGGGAAGTAATTAATGAATGCTACCCCTGGGTGGCCGCCATTTCGTATAACCGAATGCACGTGGTCGACAAAAGAATGGCGGCCATCTTGTCTCCCGAACGTGGGCAGCGGTACTCGGTCGTCGAGTGCCTGGAACTCTTTTCGGCTAGCTACTCGCACGAACGCTGGTAAAACTTTGTCCGCTGCCTGTTCTATTTCCCGACCACCTATACGAATGATGTTCGGGAGATATGAACTACCGAACAGGGGGAGCATTCGTATCCAGAAATGAAGAGATTCCCTTGTATGGTGTTCGCACAGGAACTCCACGAACAGAGACCGACCAGGACACCTATTCTCTTTTGGGCTAGTGCCTCATGTCTGGCCGTTCAAAATTTAACCTTGATGGCGTTCCCATTCCACCGAACCGATCTGAGAGATCTTTGGGTATGTTATACACTCAGATCGTGACTATCGGGAGATGTACTTTTTGTGGGGTTCCTGAGTATGGGGGGTACACTTTTGGGGTACTGTAATTTTGTATGGATTTTCTGTACCTGAGAGATAATTGAATTATAGTTTTTACTCACGCAATTATCTCTCAGGCCTAGAGGATCTTGGGATTGTATTGGAGACCCCACGTAGGGGTCTGTGCATAAAAGCTGTGTGTCGCCAGAATAAAAGTTAGTTGACTCCCAGAACTGTGTGTCATCCAGTTACTTGGGGAATGGGCTATATCTACTAAACAGCGCTTCCCTTCCAGCTCCAGATGATTACAGCTGAGATATTCAGTCTCAGCATTGCAGCTCCGTTACAGTTTACTTTGTCACATTGTGTACGTTTTTGTGGTTTATTATTAAGGTATAGGGAAAACACCCTCTGTGCAATTCATAAAAAGAATTAAAAGCGCCACACATCTGTCATTACTTCACTTTGATTACTTACAGTGCAAGGTAGGTGGGTGCTCTACACTAGGTGGACGAACAAACAAGTAGTTGCAAAAAGACAAGTTGGGTGGACAGGAACAGAAAGTGCTGGGGGCCCTGCTCAAATGAGCTTACACTCTAGGGGGAGTGGAGTAAAATTACATAAGAGGTAAGGGTAGGATGTATTTCATGTATGGGGAAAGTTGGTTGCAAGAGGAGGTTACACTGATGGTTTAGTTTTTTTTAGATTACACTGTTGCAGGGGAGAAGTTGGGTTAGTGAGGTGTGGGGAGGGAAAGCTGTTCACAGTTTAATTTATATGCCCTATTTAAGAAGTGATTTATCAGTGATACAGCCAACAGTGCAGCCCTAGAGAAGTCTTGAAGGCGAGAGTCAGAGGTGCTAGTACTAACAAAGCATAGGTCTATCCCCCATATTACTGTACTTATACCACTTATCACAGTCCCAGTCCCCCTCATTACTGCCTCATGCCTCCTATCACAGCCCCTATCCACCAGTTCTGCACCATTTCCACATCACAACCCAACAGTTTGCCTGATTCATGATCCAAGCTACTGAACTCTCGCTGCAATACAGTGGTGTATTTTGGATATGTGCTGCCCTAGGCAGGACAAAACTCAGGCACACCCTCCCCCATCTAAATTTGCCCCGCCCCTACCTGTTTAAGACGAACACTGAGTTTGACTGACAGACACACACTGACACACCCATTGACTGACAGGCACACACTCTCATATACACAGTGACAAACATTTACTGATATACAGGACCTAACTCGGGCACCCCCTCCCCCATCTAAATTTGCCCCGCCCCTACCTGTTTAAGACGAACACGAAGTTTAACAGACAGATACACAGTGACATAGATTCACTGGCAGACACACACATCCACTGACAGACACACTCACTAACATATACACTTACTCACAGAGAGTGACAGAAACACTCACTCGGACACACAGTGACAGACATGCACACATACACTGACACACACATATTTACTGACAGACACTTAGAGGACCACGCTCCCTCGCACTCCCCTCTGCCAAGGCGCTTAATGGGTGGCTTTTTTTTTTTTTTTTGCTGCCCAAGGCAAGTGCCTTGTTAGCCTCGTGGGAAATACACCACTGCTGTAATAGAGAAATAAAATGCTTAGTGGCAGAGATCGGTGCCACTAACATCATTGTGTCAGAAACTGCCCCAGCCTTCTGTTGGTCACAACATAGCAGTTCAGGACAAATATCTGATAGCACAGATCTCTCTTGCACATGTCCCTTGTATTTGATGACTAATGGGATACGTTGTTATCCCCCTTTTCTTACCACTTTAAAAAACTAGATTTGCTCTTTGGCTTATTTTTCTTCTTCTTCACATGGACAGTGCTCCATTCTTATGACCAAAATTGATGGTTGTTATGGTTAGGCCTATCTGGGAGTACAGGGGTTTATAGAGCATATGTTGACTGTTTGTTCCAAGTTCTGCTTTACCCATAGCAAATTGTTTTGCTATTACAGTAAAGTCTGTAATAGAGATGTCATATTGTCCACTTATAACTTGAGCTAAGAGTAAAATACATGGTGCACAGGAAACTTGCACAGTTTCAATCCAATTTTTGTTGCACGAAAAACTCAATTCAGGATCATCAAAACTACAAAGGCAATATGTTTCTCACAATTTCCATATGTTTCTTGCATCCAATGTCCATTCTCTGAGTAGTTCTTTAACAATCTATATGTTTTAGTTTGTTTACATTCAGAAAACACTGATGCCCAGCATTTTCTCTGTAGAAAAAAATAAATATATAGTGAAAAGCCAAGACAATATACACAATATCTTCTACAGTTCAGAGCTTTTGGTGATGTAAAGAATGATTTGCCAGAGAACCTATTTGTAATTACATTTCTGCTCAAAAGGTGCACCATGGTTTACAATTTATAGAAATATGTTAATTTTTCATGGATCCCTATTCTGTTTATATTCATGGATATCATCAAGATTTGCTGAGACGAGCAACATGCTTAACGAAAGAGAAACTGTCTGCAGCAAGGGATTACAAATCAATAAAATATATCTAATATATTTTGTTTTATAACTTGCAATAACATAGGACAACATTACACTATGGTGCATTTAAAAAAGCAAAATAAAGACACCTAATCTCATTAATGTATTTGTCTAATTCCATTTGATTTTCCCTCCTTATCCAACAGAGGAGCTGGACTCACCCCCATTTGGAAAGATTCTAATGAAATTAGGTCTGGCCCTGATTGTGGTTGGACACCTCAATTTTATATTTGGAGCCATTGTGCACGGCTTAGTCCTGAGACATGTATCACAGATGAAGGACAATGAATCATGGCATTATTCCATAGCCAACATTACTGCTGTAGCTTCTGCTATCTTGGTAAGTGTTTATGTATAGTAACAAATAAAACTCATATATTTGCTTCTACATATATCTGTAGATCACAGGCTTACAGACTCTCATTATACCCTCGACTTACCTAAATAGGGTGCTTTAGGCTTGGCTGGCAGTTAACACTTCTAAGTGTCTGGGTGATAAATGGCAACATTTTCATTAACCAACGCTGGTTTAGAGCTCCAAAACTTGTATTGGCTAACACAGTCCCTTTAATGTCTATTTTGGAGCTCTGCTATTTATTGGCAAAGCTGTAACCATAGCATTTCATGGATGGTAAAATATGCTGCCTTTTGCAGAAATGGGCCATGTATGTAAGTAAATTATTATTCATAAAGCGCCAACAAATTCCAAAACACTGTAAATATAAACAGGGTTATTTACTAAAGTAGCAATCCATGGTAAATGCAAAGTGAATTTCAAATTTAAGGTAAAAATAGCTGTACTGGAAAAGTTCTCTAATTCAGTTTGCTGTCAATTGAACTACTCTGGCCTTGAATTTGAAACACACTTTAAATATTCACTCTAGCAAATAACCCTGATAGAGTGATATAAATGCCTGCATCCCAATATCATGTTCTCTTCTTTCAAGATCTTGCTGAGGCCATATTTATGATCTCTTACTACAGTGCGATTTGTGTATGAAATCTAATCTCTCAATTCAGTATTCATTTTAGTTTGCCACCATGTTATTTCTGTATGATGGGTGCACTTGATTTATTTATCTGTTGTATTATATTTTTCTTCTTGTCCCTCAGAGCATCTCTTGTGGGATTGTGGCAATTGTCTTTTCTCGGTACCTTGAACGTACATCTTTGGTAAGAATTGGTTTATATCTCCTGAACAGAGACATTCAGACATTTCTTAAGCTCCTTTGCCTTACAGTTTTGATGTGTGTTAAAAATGTATTGTGACTGTATGTCTTGTTTTGCAGCGCTGGGCAGTGTTGATTCTCAGCATATTGAATGCAGTGCTATCTGTTGCCTGCACTGTGGGTACTGCTGTTTCTGTTATAATCACCATAGCGAACCAGGGTCGCACATTGTTATCTTCTTGCACATTCACCGACCTGGAACTCATTCAAATCTCGCACGAATGTCCTTTCGACCCAACAAGAATCTATGTAAGTTTTAATAGACGGCTGTTATCCTAATATACACACAAATATAAGTGTGAATCTTCTCATAGTCGTAGCAGAGAACATTGAGGTATCTTGAGTTAATTATGCAATTTCACTACCTGTATAGAGGAATGTACCACTTTTACAACCTCTGACTTCCTTCTCTGTCTTGGATTCTCTGATCGTTCAGAATATGTTGTATGCAAGAGTGTTATTCAGAGTTACACAGCAATAAAACACACAGTAATATGAAGGGTAAATTAATTATATTGCATCACCAAGATAAAATACATACCATTGTGCTTTGTATAGAAATGAGGGAGCTTCACAGCAAAATAAATCCAAGTAGTGTGCAGTGTTTTAATGATTCACAGAGCTCTACAGCAGTAAACCAGTAATGTCCTGTATCACAGAGCACCTCAAGAGTAAAACTCACAGTAAGGTGCAGTGTATTACTGTATCACAAGCTTACAATCTATAAATTAGTATTGTGCTGTATCTGAGGGTATAACAAAGCTCCACAACCTGAATCACACGGTTCTACAGCATATAAAAACCCAAGTTAATTGTGTATGTAAATCCACACATTTAAAACTACTGTCCAGTTACCAAAAATGGTGTTGGTATGTGGAGACAGATCATATCATGCAGATAATATTGCTTATCTCTACATCTGCTTTACATGTAGGGTAGAGATGAAATTTTAATTTAAGGACACTGCTGAGGTTACTACTTATCTACTCTCACTCTGTTTTTGTAGAGCACATCTTTATGTCTCTGGGTAATCTCTCTCTTACTGGATGCGACAGAGGTTTATTTTAGCACAAGGTGCTTTTTCACTGTCCTTCAGCTAATGGATGTCCGACTGTGTCGTAAACGGAGGCGGAGGAAGGTGAGTGTCTAGAAGATATGAATAGCTGAGCTTTTCACCTTTATACCAATCCCATGTGGCCGCTAAGGGAGAAACTTTTTCACGCAATATTCTTAATGTCATTTAAAAAAAACCCAGTAGATAAAACACCGGCTTATCAAAAGTAAAATTTCACATCGTCAAACTAAAGTATAATTTAATGTCCATTTGTGTCCTTACATTTTCCATTCTCATTGTTCTTAGGTCAAGATCCAAATTCCAAAGATGGAAGAAGGTGTTAATGCAGAACAAGAGGAGCTAAATGCAGATGAAGGGTATAGTGTATTGTGACCATGTGACACAATGACACACAGTTTTGGACATGTGTGGAATCATTCTACGAGTGATTTTGGACATCATTCATTTGTTGTTGAGTGATCTATAAGTGTTCTACTAGGAGACGTGAACTCCAAACACAGGGTACTTATTATGGGCAAAATAGTGTTCTGCTGATGTATATGATGTACAATGAGCCTTTTTGTCTGTATGTGTGTGTGTATATATATACCTCTGCTTACTTGAGACTACATTGTCCGATTGAGAATCCATCTTGCTCACCATAAAACCCAACCACCTCCTCAAAACCCTACAGGTTTTATTCTGTACTACAGTTCTTGCACAGCCAACCTTAAACCCTACTGCCCACATCTGAAAGCTGTATCTAAGTTAAAATTGCTCTACTCGCTTTAGTTCCCTCAAGACATCCTCTTGCTGTCTGTTCACTTCAGACCATTTTGATCATTTTTAGATGCCTCTGCCAAATTCCGAGTATATTTACAATTGTCATGGAATTGTAGCTTCTATGGTACATGGTTCTGTTGTCATTAATATTACTGGTCAGGCAATTCCACTGTATATTTGCATAGAATTTTGCAGTTAGCTGGAAACTGCTTTGTTTACAGTTGCCATGGAAATATTTTCTCTTAACTACAGCATTTTTATATAATAAAAAGATGTTATATATGTTTATGAAATTACTGCATGTGGAAATAAGGCTTGTAATTACTCTTCAGGTACTTAAAAGTATTTTATGTTTTGTTACACTACAAAATACATTGGGGTTTGGATTAATCATGCTTGTGGTGGAAAACAAGATGTGTTTGTTAGGATTAGGTCTGCTATTTCATCCCTCTACCCTGAAACGCCAAGAAACTAATCATATGAAGCTTTTGAGAATTGTTTGAAAAACACTAAATTTTGGGATATACACTCTACTCTGACAGGTTTTTTGACATTACCCATTGGCTCCGCACTGGCTCATCAGTATCTGGGTGGCCTGAAAGACATATTGTCCTGTCTTATAGAGCTATTATTGTAACAGTATCAGCAGGTGGACTCTTTTTAAAGTGATGGCTGTTTCCCAAATATGTTCATCTATAGCAGTGGTTCCCAACCCAGTCCTCAAGTACCCCCTAACAGTCCATGATTTAGGGATTACCCAGCTGTGTTTAAGGTGTTTTTAGAAAAAGAAATAAAAATTATTTTAGACACAACAGGGTAATCCCTAAATCCTTGACTGGTACGGGGTAATTGAGGACTGGGTTGGGAACCCCTGATCTATAGGACTGTGGTGTTGAACAAAGAATGGAATCTCATGATTCCTGAGGTTGAGTACATTTGGTTAAAGGGACACCGTAGGCACTGTATCTGCTTCATCTCATTAAACTGGTTATAGTGTATGGAGTCCCCTGGTGCCATCATTTCTTTCAGCATTAAACAGTTTTTAATGTTGTAATGTTTTAATGCTAAACAAGAGACCACGGCAGTCCATCTCCTCTGTGCTGCTTTGGCTAATAAGGAAGTATTACCCTGAGCAGCAATGGGCAGCTGTGATTGGCTGAGAGTGTCAGCTGACTGCTTTTAACCTGTCAGAGCTCCAACTGACGGTATGAATGGGTATGACAACAAGGAAGTGTGTAATCTCTGCCTTAGCTACACATACAGAAGGGGCCGGACTGTGGGTGGCCAGGGACTCTTATTTTGTGGCATAATGCACAAACATGGTGCAACACTAAATGGAGGGACAGTGCCAGGCCAATTCAAAGAGACAAAGTGGTTATAGTGACTACAGTGTCCCTTTAAGGAGGTACAGCCTAACAAATCAAGTGGAAGAGTCACATTCCGGGGGTTGAAGAGTCTCTCATCTCACCATCATTAAAACACACCACTGAATAGTACAGTACCATCCTCTGAAAATATTGAATGAAAAGCATTTTATGTAAACTGTAAAATCCCATTAATCAAATGTACATAGGACACTGAGGTAAAGACAAAGAAACATTAAACTGACCTTGTCACCAACTATGTTGCACATTCTGCTAGTACAGGCAGGGAAAAATGGAGGGTAGGCTGTATAAAACCGTATTCCACTTCCCCCCGATCCATAGACTTCTTGCTGTTTCTGTCACTTTTCCTCTCACATCATTACTTATATTCTTGAAAGACGAAAAAAATGCGTTGCATAAAAGGCTGACCTTATTGGTCTCTTCCTGCTTGTACATATTAAATATACATTAAATTCAGTGCTCGTTGTAATAGAATATCCCTTTGTCACCAACTGACATGTAAGGAGTGGTTACAAAGCATTCCAGGAACTTAAACATTTCTGCCAAGTTTTATTTGCCTTTTCAGAGCTATATATTAAACAAAATTATCTCCTCCTGTATTGTCAAAATACACACTAGAAGAAACTCAAAATGAAAAAGAAAATAGCAGTGTTGCTGATTTGCTTTAGGGGTTAAGAGCATGTCCCCATGTCTTCTTTTTTTTAAGAGCAATTGGCACTTGTATAAACTCTATTGGTAACATCTCCTGGCTCTCTCGGGATGCCTTATTCAAATCAGAAGTGAAATCTTCTTTTAGAGACGTATTGGTTTCATTGCTTTTTTAAGAGAAACATTGCTGACAGATTATAGCAGTTCCCACACATGCACCTTGTTTCCCAGTGCTTTTCTATGAAACGCATTGGATTGGCAAGCGATCCCCAAGGGGAATAGCAACCTGTGGCAAGAAGTAAATCTATTTACTTGCAACAGAGTTTTCCTTTTACTTACATCACATCAGAAGCAGGCAGCTTGTTGTGTCTTCCACTGCCTTTTCTGTTTTAGTTTGCCCAGTTTCTTAAATTTCTTATTTAATTTGCACATTCTTAAAGAGACTTAACAAACCATCGGCTTGTGTCTTTACTTTAAATTCGTCAGGACGATATAAGACTTTTGCACTTTACTATACCAATGTTCAACCACTGCAACACATACTGGTGATGTGATATAGAATCCCATCAGTAGCTGTCCAAGAAATATCAATTTATCAATATGTTGGTAGAATCAAGGAAACTTAAAGGAACACAATATGTCAGGAATACAAACATGTATTCTTGACAATATAGTTTTAAAAGTCCTGCTCTCCTTACTTTAAATAGGTGTTAAATTTCACCTTCCCCCCTCCCCCCCAGACAGTCTCATTGCGACTGGCCCCTCGGAAAACACGGTGTTTACATTAAAAAGCCAGCAGGGACATGCTATGGACACCAAAACAACTACATTTAGCGGTAGTTGTTCTGGTGACTATAGTGTCACTTTTAGTGGATGCACTGTGGAAGGGTGCTGTTTCTGATGGGTGTAGTGTGCTGCACAATTTAACATTCAAAACAATGATACAAGACTTTATTTGTGATATAAAATCATATGGTGGACTGTTCTAGCCTAGGTTAGTTACAGATGTGAAGTACATTGTGAGTGTTTGGTGCCAACAATATAAATATGACAGGTATGCAATGTAGCCCTCTAAGAGATTGTGCATTTATTACAAGTTGCATTCCTAGTGCAGGCAGGACTTGGGTTATCACCTGGACATATAGGAGAACATTTATCAAATCAAAATGTGCTGTTCTGGGTCAAAAAGCCATTCTACTGGTTTCCCATGGTGATTGCTCCTTATTTAGCACTATGTCTTAATTAGCTTTCTTTTAACATTGATAAAACTCACCCATAGTACCTATGTTTTACTACAGACATCAGCTGGTTGCATTGTGCACTATGGTTCGTGTTCAAACTTGCACGCAATTGCACATTCTTCAGAGCAAGATAAGCCTATATGGTGAATATATATATATAATGTATGTATATATGCCTTTTTTATATTTGAGATGAAAAGAATTGTGCACTTTAATACTCTCAGATACATCTGTGGGTTTCTTTTTGGTGATACATGTATATGGAAATTGCCATGTCTATACATGTAATAAGTAGATAAACTATACAGTATATAAGTGTAAGGGATACATTGGCAGTGAAAGGTTAGGGACACCACCTTTCCATGCAGATGATCTAATATAATGTTTAGCAGCTGATGCCGCAATAAAACCTATTGAAACATGATCAGAATATCCCTTATAGAGCCTCCACCCATACTGGGAAATGACTGCCATGCTCCTCCCTCTAATGAGATGAAAGATGAATGGGATCAATAGAGTGCAAATCTAGACAAGGTACTTGTAAGCTAAAAGTCTGCCCCTATCACATATAGTAAAAAGTACGTGCATAGATTTTCCCTGCATTAGTGCAACCAAACATACTGCAGATCACATCAAGGTGACTGTCAAGCAACATGTAACCAGGACTCAAAGAATACAGCTGTATCCCTAGTTGGCAGCATCTCTAACCCATGCGGGAATGTGTCACTGGTCCCTTTCAGTCACTTTAATACCCCCACCCGCCCCTAGAGCCCAAGAATTCCATGCACCCAAGTTGTCCCATTGTATCATATATAGAATAGCAAGATTTAGAGTAATAAATAGGGGGGTGGGTACTGGGCTGACTGGTTGGCAGTGCATTCATGTCCATCTAATGCCCAAGAGGATTCTAGGACAGGCTGCTGTGCAGAGAGGAGGGAAATCTCTCCTTGTCACAACCTCAGGAAGAAGTGGATATTTCACAGTGCGTAGTATGGCTCAGAACTGGGAGGCCGTGCTGGGATCACATTGCAGTAGTCGCACAATAGATGGGTCACTCTTGGCACCTTTAATAAACTCCTCCAGGGAGAGCTTACCTGAATTAGAAAATAAACTATAAGAGCAGGAAATAGTTGCAGAAAAAAGGAAGAGATAACCAGTATAAAAATACATGACAAGAGCATAGAGCCACAACGAACAAGTAGATAATAAAATATGGAAAAATAATGCCAAATAAACATTAAGCATACCAAGCCGGTAAACCATTAAGGAAGCTAATTTCCAGGTGGATAATGTTTCCGGTCTAAAATTTGCAATTCCTAGGCCAATTCTTGACAATTCCCAGTTTCGGGAATATCCATATATTAAGCAAGAATTAGGAAATACCCTCTTCCACAATGGTGCCTTTGGCTTTGATATGCTGTATTATTACTACTCACCATCATTATTTGTGTCCATCTGTCGGAAGATTTTCTCTGTGCGTTTCTCTGGTGTAGACTCGTCCTCTGGCATCTTCATTACTGAAGAAACCATTTTATAGATAGCCTAGAAAACCAATGAGTTATCAGTCCATAATAATCAATAACAGAACAGCCAATATACTGCCATATAAGTGTAGACAGCCTAATTGGAAAAATTTCCCTGCTTGACTTTTCCCATCTCAGTTATTTTGGCCTAAAATCTGAAATTCTCAGAGCAATTTCCCACATATTTTGGTTTAGTAAATATTTCTGAACATCTTGTTACATCAGTGTCACAAGCCATGGAGATTAACGAAAAAGAGGTCAAATTGAATTTGACATTTTCTTCTGCAACTCGGGACATCCCTACAGAATACTATTTAGTGAATAACTCCATGTGAAATAAATAGTTATATTTTCATTGCCACTCATGTTCACCAGCCTTTGCAAAAAAAAAAAAGTCTGGATATTCTTTTCCAGATGCTTCAAAACCAAGGATCTGGAAAACATTCTCTCATCTGACTTTCTCTGTTTAGAAAATCATTCTGAAGTTATTGCTGATATCAGATATTTTTCCAGTAATCTTTTGAGAGTGCACTACTGCATTGTTCTATATTTAAAGTGGAAAGTTCTTCTTCCACTGAAGATGCTCCTTGTATACTTTGCTTTTCTTTTGACATCACCAATACACTTAAAAAAATGGCTGTTAGAGGAAAATTAAGTTAAGGTCTGAAGTATTTGAAGTGTCATCAGTCACTTTTCTGGAATCAAAACTGATTCCATGTGGACACCTATCAGTGTTAATGTCATGGTAATCTGTTACATGCAGGGTTGCCAGACCCACCTTATTTTCGTGGACCCGCATCACTTTAACACAATGATGCACACAGCACATGAGTGCTACTCTGCAGTACGTAAGCAAAGAAGCCATTAATCATTGAGGAGTCCTGCAGAATGTGAATTCTACATCCCGCAGACAGCACTTTTCAGGTACTGCCCAAAGTGATATTTGTTTTGTAAAACACATGGTGAATCTGGCTCCCAAGTCCAACATCAGAAAAATAAGACAACAAAGCCAGGGACTAGTTGACAGTTCTCTCTAAACCATGACAAAAAAAACACAACTTACTAGGTTATTCATTAAACTGAGAATTGCCGGAAATGTATAGTAAATTTAAAATGTAAGGGCAAAATAGTAAAGTGGCAAAATTAAGCAATTTTTTGCCTTATATTTGAAGTTCACTTTGAATTTCCAACAATTCTCACTTTAGTGAATAATCATTTTAGTGGATTCCTATATCGCCATGTGTTTGTAGGACATGTCTGACTGTTTCAGACTGTAAGGATGGCTTTGAAGAGTGCTCTTGGCTAAAGGCAATATTCATATTGTGCAGAGTGAAAACAATTAATTAATCACAGCAAGTGTCCTAAATTGAGAGTTGTGTTTAACTGAGCTCAGTCCTGCAACATATGAAGGATATTTACTGCCAAGAGAGCTTTTCAACCACAGTCATGAATCATTTGTATACTCCTTGCAATCCTAACTATTGGACAAATGTGATCACTGTATGTGTATCATTAATAACCATTTTTGGGACACAATGTAAAACAAAGGCATTGTGCATGGATGTAATTTGACTGCAGCATAAACGTAAATGTATTTTAAATATTACATAATTTTTTTTATATATATATATAATTAATTGCAAATCAAATTAAACAGTGACATGTGGCACCTAACTTCGTTGCAACCGTTAAGTAAGTTGTCAAACCATTCACAAATGGTGGGGGCACTAGGGCACTTTTTATAGGCACTAGGAGTGTTCCTTTAATACTTACTGCATCTCCAGCACTGAAGCTGCTTGATCTAGGGTGTATAGGCACTGCAGTTCTCTCCTACCATCTACCCCATTGCTAAAATGATTAGCCCTGCTTGAAAACACTTCCCAAAGCAGTGTACATACCCCCTGTGTCACTAAAACTCTAGCTTTACTGCCAGTACATCAGTGTCAGAACTAAAAGACACTTTGTTCCTATATTCCTTTAGAGTAGTGCCACACTTGCTTGCCAGAGGAATAATATCAACAACTACAGCACATTCATTGCAGTTGCTGTGACAAAGATCAGATGAACTGCATGTAGTTCTTCTGCACCACATCACCATTTTCTCAGCACATATGCTGTGTTGTCTATATAGACCTCTGTGGTGAGGAAATAATTGACAGGTAAGGAAAGGGACACTTGATTGAAAATGCATATGTGTTAGCATAATATATAGATGGACTTTCCTCATCTTAAATTTTAAATAAAGTTATTTGTACTGTGGCAAGTACACTTTTACTACCGTCTACAACATTTATATTTAGAATTCTTTCTACAGACATACCAGGTATTTTTATCTGCATGTCCTTTGCCATCACTGCCTGATTCTTTGTAACAGTTGTAATACTGCTGATCTATGGCTTGTATAATTTCATGTGAATGTCATTTTAACTCTATAATGCATATTCCTTCAGTAGAAATTACACTTCACAGGCAAATCAGACATGAAGGGTTATTCACTAATTTAAATCTGAAGTTGATGAAATACCAATACAAAATATAAATTACACATTAATATCTGAATTGCAAAATCCATGCTAAAATAACCAAGTGATCACCATTGCTGAATTGAAGAATTCTTTAGATCAGCTATGTTTTCCTTAATTACGACATTCTATTCACTACAATTCAGAGTTTAATAGATGATCCTGCTAGTGCTTAACTGTGATCAAGTTCCTCATTGATGGGTAACATCACTAAAATTAAATTTTTTTTATATGTTGCAGCACATATTAACATAGGAAACACTACAAAGTTGTAATGGTCGTAGTCTTATTAGATAGTGATATTAGTGTCAGGAATACAAACACACGACTATTTTGGTGACCAGCCCCCCTCCGACCGCATGGGAAAGGTGTTTTTACTCACCTGTTTTCCCACGCCGTGTCAGTCTCAGCGTGTCTGGCCCTGCCTCCATGACTGATATCACTAATCTAGTTGTTTACCAATAGGAAATATAATTAATGCATCTCTATGGGGAACGTTCAGCACCTCCATGCAGGGTGTTGAGCAGGGCGGCTGCAGCACATTTTCTTCCCTCCCCTCCCCTGTAGCGTGGCCGAGCTGCACTCCGGTCCGCGGTGGCCGGCCGGCCGGAGTGATAGGAAGGTGCACACTGAGTGTGCACTTCCTGTCAGTCGGGCCGGTTACAGGAAACAGAAAGTCAGGCAAGTTGAGCATGGTTGCAGGTCATTTTTTCCTTTCAGGGACAGCTATCTGTTCGAGCGGGAATGTTGCGATAGGCACTGAGTGTGCACTGTCAGGCCGTTATGTCGCGTCAGCGGTAAGCTCTGTTTCTTATAACTCGGCCGACTGACAGGAAGTGCAACACCTCAGTGCACCTTCCCATCACCGCCGGGTCGGGCCACCGCTGACCGGAGTGCAGCCCGGCCAATGCCTACAGGGGAGGGGGGGGAAATAAAAGAGGGAGGGGGGGAACAAAAGAGGAGGGGGGAACAAAGCGAGGGAGGGGGGAACAAAAAGAGGGGAGGGATGAGGGGAGGGGGTGTAAACAAGAGGGGAGGGGACGAGGGGAGGCAAGGAAAAGAGGGGAGGGGGATTGAGGGAGGGGGAACGTTGAGGAGGGGGAATGAGAGGGAATGCAGGGAGGGGGGGATGAGGGGAGGGGAACAAAAAGAGGGGGAGGGGGACGAGGGGAGAAAGAGGAGGTGGATGAGGGAGGGGGAACAAAAGAGGAGGGGGGGACTGAGGGGAGGGGGGAACAAAAGAGGGGAGGGGGGGATGAGGGGAGGGGGGAACAAAGAGGAGGGGGGATGAGGAGGGGGGTGAATGCAAAAGAGGAGGGTGGGGGGGACGAGGGGAGGGGGGAACAAAAGAGGGGGAGGGGGAACAAAAAGAGGAGGGGGGGACGAGGGTGGGAACAGGAGGTAAACAAAGAGACAGAGGGGGAACAAGAAGAGGAGGGGAACAAGCCAAGAGAGAGGAACAAGAAGAGGGGGGAGGGGAACAAAGAGGAGGGGGGAATAAAGAGGGGATGAGGGGAGGTAAACAAAGCAGGGATGAGGGGAGGGGGGGAACAAGAAGAGTGGGGGAGGGAACAAGAAGAGGAGGGAGGAGGAAATAAGACGAGGAGGGGGAACAAGAAGAGGGGAGGGGGAACAAAAAGAGGAGGGGGGGTGAACAAAGAGGGGGGATGAGGGGAGGGGAAATAAAGAGGGGGGGATGAGGGAGGGGGTAAAAACAAAAGAGGGGGGGGATGAGGGGGAGGGGGGAACAAGAAGAGGGAGGGGGCAGCACAAGAAGAGAGGAGGAGGAACAAGAAGCAGGGGGAGGGGACAAGAGGGAGGAGGAGGAATAAGAGGGGAGGCAGCAGGAGGAGGGGAACAAGAAGAGGGGAGGGGGAACAAGAAGAGAGGAGGAGGGAGGAGGGAAACGGAAGAGGGGAGGGGGGAACAAGAAGAGAGGAGGGAGGAGGAACAAGAAGAGGAGGGGAGGAGGGAATGCTGAAGAGAGAGGGAGGGGGGGAATAAGATGAGGGGAGGAGGGAACAAGAAGAGAGGAGGAGGAACAGGCATGAGGAGGAGGGGGGAAATAAGATGAGGAGGGGGGAACAAGAAGAGGGGAGGGGGGAATTTCTCCAAGATGAGGAGGGGGGGAACAAGAAGAGGGTGGCGGAACAAGAAGAGGAGGAGGGAAACGCAGCAAATGAGGAGGTAAATAAGATGAGGAGGCACTGAAGAGGGGAGGGAGGGGAATAAGAAGAGGGGAGGGGGGGGACAAGATGGGGAGGGGGAATAAGAAGAGGAGGGAGGGAATAAGAAGAGGAGGGGGACAAGAAGAGGGGGAGGTGTCGGCAAGGAGGAGGAAAAGAGAGGAGGAGGGAGGGAGGAACCTGGGAAGAGGAGGAGGGGGGAACAAGATGAGGGGAGTGGAGGGAATAAGAAGAGGGAGGGGAACAAGAAGAGGGGGGGAGGGAATAAGAAGAGGGGAGGGAGGGAATAAGAAGAGGGGAGGGGGGAATAAGAAGAAGGGGCAGCTCTATAGGACAGGGGCCAAGACAGGGAGCTCTTTCACACTACGCGCGCACACACACACAATGCATCCCTATACATACACAGAAACACAACATGCTTCCCTTACACACAGAGAAACACACAATGCATCCATTACACACACACAACAACCCACACACAGCACAATGCATCCTTTGCACACATACACAGAAACAGACAATGCAAACCCGTACACACGCATGCAAACACACACACTTCTTTTCTTACATACACACAGAAACACAATGCATCTCATGCACACACATACAGACACACACCTTGCATCCCTTATGCATACAAACACAGATTCACACAAAGCATCCCTTACACACAACCAGAAACACATAATACATCCCTTATACACAAAAACACACTGCATCACCTGCACAAACTGGTAACCCTAAACACTACATACCATAAGCACAAATATTAGATCCTCTACAATAACACATAACACATCCCCTACACACTCCACTCCCTGTGAGCGAACTCATGGGTGGGTGGAACTTATGAGTGGGCCTTATGGGCATACCCACCGTCAGGCCCTGGGGCCCAAACTTTGAGCTGTGTAAGGGGCCCCAAAAAAATTGAGCTGCTTCCAATTCTCCCAGAACATTGAATTTTGTGACCACAGTTGCAAACAGCCTCCAGAGATCCTGTTCTACAACAGACCAGTGGAGCCAAACTGCAGCCCATCATCATCCTCATCTGCTTGTAAGTAGGCAATCTAGTATATTATTAGTGACACTAATCTATAATTTACCTCACATTAAAGGGACACTATAGCTTAATGAAGTGGTTCTGGTGTCTATAGCTGGTCCCTGCAGGCTTTTTAATGTAAACACACACTGTGTGCAGCACTGGCGTTAGTTCATATGGCAGATCATATGGGTGGGGCATTGTGATGTGACATGTGGGGGCAGCAAATTTTTATTTTGTCTAGGGCGGCAAAAATCCTTGCACCGGCTCTGATCCTGGGCAGGTGCACCAGTCTACTTGACTGGTTTTGCCCCCCAGGCCTAAGGCTGCCAGCCCTCCCCTGGCCGCTGGGGAGGTCTTTTGGCGGCCGCTGGCGGACTTGTCCTGGCGGCCGCTGAGGGAGCTGCGCGAGCTGCGCTGGCTCTGCTCCCCAGCACGCAGCTGAATGAGACCGGCGCCGGAATATGACGTCATATTCCGGCGCCAGTCTCATTCAGCAGCGCGCGAGGGCGGAGGGCACTAACACAGGAAGCACCTCTAGTGACCGTCTGAGTGACTGTCACTAGCAATGTCACTTTGAAGCAATGTAAACACTGCCTTTTGTCTGAAAAGTCAGTGTTTACGTTGAAAAGCCTGTAGGGACATGCTATAGACACCAGTACCACCACATTAAGCTGTGTGTGTGCGTCTGCTAGTGAGTGAGCTTGCTTGCATGCGTGTGCCTGCTAGTGAGTGAGCTTGTGTTTTTATGTCAATGAGCTGATGTATATCAGTAAGATTGTTTGTCTATGAGGCTGTGTATCAATGAGCTTGTGTGTGTCACTGAAATGTCAGTGAAATTGCCTGTGTCTGCATGTGCGTATGCTTACTGTATAATTAAACGTTTTACCCTGAAAGGACCAATATTTTATATTAGAAAAAGCAAATATATATATATATATATATATATATATATATATATATTACTCAATCATCTGTCCTGGCAAGACATAGCCTTACATATTACACGCGACAATATATGGCGAAGTGACTTATGGGGCTGGCACAAATTTTTTTCCAGGGCTGCTTTGTATCCCCAGTCCGGCCCTGGTGTTGAGCCGCTGAATGACTGTGCAGCACTGACACAGGAAGCACTTCTAGTGGCCACCTGAGTGCCACTGGAGGTGTTGCTAAGCATCTATGTCAGCACTGCCTTTTATTTGAAGAGGCAGTGTTTACATTGAAAGGCCTGCAGGGTCTGACTATATACAACAAAACCACTACATTTGGCTGTTGTCATTATGACGACTATAATGTCCCTTTAAAGGGGTACTTTAGGTAGTATGACCACTTTATCTCATTGGTTGTAGTGCATGGAGTTCACTGGAGCTGGCCCTCCATTTAGTGTTCTACCATTGTTAAACAATTTGACACTAAATAAGTGTCATTGGCCACCCGGCCCCAATAAGAGGCAGAGACTACACACTTCCTTCTAGCCATACCAACTCATACCAGTAATGGGCACTGTGATATGATGAAATCAGTCACCTAACATTCTCAGCCAATCATAGCCAGGGCTGTCCCTAACACGGGGCAAAAGGGGCAGCTGCCCTGGGCCCAGTCAGTCTTAGGGGGCTCATAGCAGATGCCCCTTTAGCCCTCCAGCCGCTGTGGTGTGTGTGGCCCGCGTGGATCTACGCGATGTGGAGGCTCATCGGGTGGCCAATGCTCTAAGGTCCACCCGGTGGAGATGGATTTTTAGGGGCCTGGCCGCTTTGAGATCGCGACCGGCCCCCTGTGATGATGTCAGGATGCTGGGAGGAAGTGACAGCTGGTCACTTCCTCCCAGCATTCACAGAGCGCCACGCGGGAGGAGGAGAAGAAAAGGAGGGAGTCAGAGTGGGAGCCTCCTTCACTCCAAAGGTAGGAAACACACAAAAAATGTGTATGTATGTATGTGTCATCTGTATGTATACATGTGTGTATCTGTTTGTATGTGTGTGTGTTTCTGTATATGTGTGTCTGTTTGTATATGTGTATGTCTATATGTGTATATGGTTGTATGTGTATCTGTGTGTGTGTATGTTTGTATGTGTGTCTGCATGGCTTTGTATCTGCATGTGTGTCAGTGTGTGTCTGTGTTTGTATCTGTGTGAGTGTCATTCTGTGTATTTGAATGTGTATCATTCTGTGTTTATGTGTAGTTGCATGTGTGTTTGAGTATCTGTATATGTCAGTGTCTGTATCTGTGTGTGTCTGTATCTGCATGTGGGTCCATGTCTGTATGTTATTGTATGTATCTGCATGTATGTCAGTGTGTTTGTGTGTTGGTTTTTCTGTTTATCTGCATATTTATCAGTGAATGTATCTGTGCATCAGTCCACTTGTGATATAGGTGGGGAGAGTGTGTCAGGTTGCTAGTTAGAGATGGGGGTAACCTCTAGAGAAAATATATGAGACCGTAAAAAGAAAGGTAAGATTGGAGGCAAATAGTATTTCATACCTCTTAACCTAAGCCTTCCAAGAATAGAAGCAACCATCAACAGGTGATAAAAATAAAACATAACCTTTAATATACACATCTAAAAAGAACTAAAATCTAATACCAGTAATAAAAATGAATATAAATAAATTAATGGCTAATTTTGCTATAAGCGAGGAGAGGGGTATAAACTTTAACATACAGAGTGGTAGCTGGAAGGGGAATACATGAATAAGAAAACTGAACAAGATCCAGTGAGGTGCCCAAAAAGCCACCTTATATATTAACATCCAATCCCCCAAACAGGTTCCGATCCCCAACTCCTAATGCTGAATTCTCAGAGAGTCAGACCCCTAACCCTCACTTAACCATTAGTAACTGGTAGCTAAATATCGCTAGCCGATACTAGCTAGATCGAGCAATATAGCTAAATAGGATCCACTAAGTTAAAGGGACACTATAGTCACCAGAACAACTACAGCTTATTGAATTTGTTCTGGTGAGTAGAATCATTACTTTCAGGCTTTTTGCTGTAAACACTGTCTTTTCAGAGAAAATGCAGTGTTTACATTACAGCCTAGAGGTAACTTCACTGGCCACTCCTTAGATGGCTGTTAGAGATCCTTCCTAGGTCATGGCTGCCTAAAATGCATCCAAACATTTAGTATCGCCTCCCTCTGCATGCAGACACTGAACTTTCCTCATAGAGATTCATTGATTTAATTCATCTCTATGAGGAGATGCTGATTGGCCAGGGCTGTGTTTGAATCATGCTGGCTCTGCCCCTGATCTGCCTCTTTGTCAGTCTCAGCCAATCCTATGGGGCAGCACTGTGCACAGCATCCTGTGATTCAGTATCTCCTCCCTCTGCATGCAGACACTGAACTTTCCTCATAGAGATTAATTGATTCCATTCATCTCTATGAGGAGATGCTGATTGGCCAGGGCTGTGTTTGAATTGTGCTGGCTCCGCCCCTGATCTGCCTCCTTGTCAGTCTCAGCCCTATCCCATGGGGAAGCATTGTGATTGGATCAGGCCGCCACTTCTGATGATGTCAGAGGAAGTTCACAGGCAGAGGCAGCAGCTTCAGACTTGAATACTGTCAGGGTACCTGTTGGTGATGTATCCAGGGAGGACATCCTCTCTGCTTAGGGGCTCCCTTCCCCTAGCATTTCGGCATATTTCGGCCGTTTTCGCGCCGGCCGCGCTAGCTCCTCCCCCTTTTATGACGCGACGGCTAGCGTCGACGTCATGACGTCGGCATTTGCATAAAGTGCCGGGAACCGCTATTCCGGACCTTTTGGGGGCGTGGTCTCTATTTAGGTAACAGGGTATTTAAAGGAAACCTTTACTACTGCTCATTGCCCTGTCGTGGTTCTAGCTTGCTAGTCACTCAGCGCGTTCTTTATCTAGTGTTTCCGGTTTTGACCCTTGCTTGCCTTTTGTCCTGTTGTCCTCTCCTCTCCTTTGACTCGGATTGTATCTCGCTTACCTGTCCTCCGGCTCCCTTGACCTCGGCTTACCTTTTGACTATTCTTGCTTTGTCCTTACGTTAGTCCGGCCATTCTAAGGTCCGGTATACGTACCTCCTTCTGTGCGCACTCTGCGTATTGGATCCCTGTCAGTTTCCTGACATTACGACAGGGCCATGATGGATCCTGCAGGTGCTAGTCCTCCTGACCCCAGATTTGAGGCCATGGACCATAGAATGGACCAAATGGCTTTAGCGCTACAAACTTTGTTGACACGCTCCAGTACCCAGTCTGAAGAAATACGTTCCACTGCTAGCCACTCGCTAAGTACTGGTTTGGAAGTAGCCACTGTAGGCGCATCTTCCCATGTCACGTCACCATTACGATATGGGGGTTCGCCTGATGCTTGTCGTGGTTTTTTAAACCAGATAAGTATACATTTCGAACTACAACCCCGGGCTTACCCCACTGACAGGGCTAAGGTAGGCTTTATTATAACCCTGCTAATAGATAAAGCACTTAGATGGGCCAATCCCCTTTGGGAGAATGACAATCCTTTAGTCTACAACTACACTGCGTTTGTCACGGCTTTTAGAAGAACCTTTGACCCCCCAGGGAGGAAGATTAATGCGGCCAGATCCCTGTTACGCCTTAAACAACAAGATAGGACCCTTGTAGAATATGCTCTAGAGTTTAGATCATTGGCAGCAGAAGTGAAATGGAACGAACAAGCTTTTATGGATGTTTTCTTGAATGGGTTGTCTGATGAAATTCTAGATGAAATTGCCACTAGAGAACTTCCGGAAAATTTAGAGGATTTAGTATCCTTCATTTCCAGAATAGATGAACGCATGAGACAGAGGCAGAACACTCGGGAAAGAGTTACTAGACTTCCTGTAAGACTCGCTCCCTCATTTCAGAACCCTGACTCCTATAATCCTACTCTACCAGAACCTATGCAAATAGGTAATACTCGCTTATCTGAGGCTGAGAGACAGTACAGAAGAAGGGAGGGTCTCTGTTTATACTGCGGGCTGAGAGGTCACCTACGTCTCAGTTGCCCTAATCGTCCGGGAAACGCTCGCACCTAAGTTCCCTTAGAGGACGGGCCTTGGGTGTTTCATTACTGTCCTCTATGCATAATAAAAAAGACCATAGGCTTCTGATTCCTGTCTCTCTAGCTTGGGAAAAGGGGTTTATTACTACGATGGCATTATTAGATTCTGGAGCAGCAGAAAGCTTTATAGACCAAACTTTCGCTAATATGCATTGTATCCCATTCCAATTGAGAGATACACCCTTGGCCGTTGAGGCCATAGATGGTAGACCTTTATCTGAACCAGTAATATTCCATGAGACCGAACCCGTTAAGCTTACTGTTGGTATTTTCCACGAAGAGTTGATTTCCCTTCTGTTAATTTCCTCCCCGGCAGTCCCAGTGGTTCTAGGATATTCTTGGCTCAAGAGACACAACCCTCAGATTGACTGGGAGGGTGGAGAAATCGTTTCTTGGGGTATGGGTTGTAGGAAAGAATGTCTGCAGAGAGTTACTTCTGTTTGCCCCGTGAACTCTTATGCTAACACTTCTCAATCCACAGACGTTCAGATACCATTACAATATCTAGACCTCAAATCTGTATTTGACAAGGGTAAGGCGGATACTTTACCTCCCCACCGGTCTTATGACTGTTCTATTAAACTTTTCCCTGGTACTATGCCTCCCAGGGGTACGGTATACCCTCTATCCACCAAGGAAAACTTAGTTTTAGAGGAATATATCAAGGAGAATTTAGACAAGGGATTTATTAGAAAGTCTTCTTCTCCGGCGGGGGCGGGTTTCTTTTTTGTAGAAAAGAAAGACGGTACCTTACGTCCTTGTATAGACTATCGGGGATTGAACAAAATTACTATCAGAAATGCTTACCCTATTCCTTTGATTACTGAACTCTTTGACAGACTAAAGGGGTCGAGTATTTTTACTAAACTTGACTTAAGGGGAGCATATAACTTAGTGCGAATTAAACAAGGAGATGAATGGATGACAGCATTTAATACCCGTTACGGGCATTATGAGTATACCGTAATGCCGTTTGGGCTTTGTAACGCCCCGGCCGTCTTCCAAGACTTGATCAATGAAGTTCTTAGAGAATTCCAACATGAATGTGTAATTGTATATTTGGATGATATACTAATCCATTCTAGAGACATTAATTCACATCATAGACAAGTCAGAAAGGTATTACAGAAACTTTTACAACATGGATTGTATTGTAAATTGGAAAAATGTAGCTTTGACCAGTCTCAGGTAACTTTCTTAGGTTACGTAATTTCCAAAGACGGGTTTATGATGGACCCGACCAAACTAAAATCGATTTTAGATTGGCCTTTACCTAAGGGACTCAAAGCCATACAAAGATTTCTTGGATTTTCTAATTATTACAGACGCTTTATTAAAGGGTACTCCTCTGTTATCGCTCCTATCACTAATATGACCAAACAAGGAGCCGATACCAAAACCTGGTCTACTGAGGCTTTATCTGCTTTCGAAACGCTCAAACAGTCTTTTGCCTCAGCACCTGTATTAGTTCATCCTGATACCTCTCTACCCTTTTTACTTGAAGTTGATGCGTCTGAAACAGGGATAGGCGCAGTGTTATCCCAAAGACAAAGTTTAGATAAGCCGCTGCACCCTTGCGGTTTTTTTTCCAAGAAACTGTCACACACTGAAAGGAGATATGACATTGGTGATAGAGAACTTTTAGCTATCATTATGGCATTAAAGGAATGGAGACATTTGTTAGAGGGCACCGTCCTCCCAGTTACTATCTTGACTGACCACAAAAATTTATCGTATATGGGGAGGCCAAAAGATTATCTGCCAGGCAGGCACGTTGGTCTATGTTCCTTACACACTTTAATTATGTGCTTACTTACAGGCCTGGTTCTAAGAACACTAAGGCAGACGCTTTGTCACGTCAGCACGAACCTACCACCTCTACAGAGGATACTTTGTTCCCTATTATTCCTGAAGTCAATATTATCGCCAACACCAATGTCAAAATACACTCTCCATTGCTCGCTGATATTCAGAACGAACAATCTCTTGCTCCCGAACGTACTCCTGTGGGCCGCTTGTTCGTGTCTCCCAAATTCCAAGTGGACATTATTCGCTGTTTCCACGATAGCAAGATCGCTGGTCACCCCGGCATCCACAAAACTTACTGCCTGATCTCAAAAGACTTCTGGTGGCCCGGTTTACGTAGGGATGTGGAAGACTTTGTCAAGGCTTGCAATGTTTGTGTCAGGAATAAACTTCCGCGGGATCTCCCTTGTGGTTTATTGCAGCCCTTAGTCGTTCCCAACAAACCTTGGGCTTGCTTGGCTATGGATTTTATTGTTGATCTACCAGCTTCCAATAGGCATACAGTTATACTCACGGTCCTTGACAGGTTTACTAAAATGGCTCATTTCGTTCCCTTGCCTAAACTTCCGTCCTCCCCCGAACTGGCCGTGATATTTGCTAGAGAAATTTTCCGTTTACATGGTATTCCCAATGAGATTGTGTCAGACAGGGGTTCCCAATTTATTTCCCGTTTTTGGAGATCCTTCTGTTCACAGTTGGGCATCAAACTGAATTTTTCTTCGGCCTATCATCCTCAATCTAACGGAGCAGCCGAACGCACTAACCAAAAAATTGAGCAATATCTACGTTGTTTTGTTTCTGAACACCAGGATGACTGGGTCGGTCTGATTCCTTGGGCGGAGTTTGCTCACAACAACCTTGTTTGTGGTTCCACTCATAATAGCCCCTTTTTCTTGAACTATGGCTTTAACCCTACTGTTCTTCCGTCGGTGTCTCCTTCCCAGGGTATACCGTCGGTTGATATTCATATAGCCAACCTGAGAAAGTTGTGGGATCAGACTCGACAAATTCTTGAACGTAGTTCCGCGGTGTTTAAGTCACATGCTGATAGGCGTAGACGTCCTGCTCCTATTTTTTCTCCGGGGGATAGGGTCTGGTTGTGTACCAGACACATTCGCCTGAAAGTTCCTTCCTTGAAGTTTGCTCCTCGTTACATTGGTCCTTACAGGGTACTGAGGAGGATCAACCCGGTTTCTTATTTGCTGGATCTACCTCCTACTCTACGCATCCCTAACTCTTTTCATGTGTCTTTATTGAAACCTCTTGTTTGTAACAGATTTTCCTCCCGCTCTACTCCTCCATCCTCGGTCCGTGTGGATGGTCAGGAGGAATATATCATCAAGTCCATCCTTGATTCTCGTATTTCTAGGGGGAAGCTGCAATACCTCATAGACTGGAAAGGTTATGGTCCAGAAGAGAGGTCTTGGGTTCCTGGTATAGACGTGCATGCTCCTCGTCTTCTTCGGGCCTTCCACGTTCGTTTTCCTTCTAAGCCAGGTCCCATCCGCCCGGTGGGCGTTTCTAGAAGGGGGGGTACTGTCAGGGTACCTGTTGGTGATGTATCCAGGGAGGACATCCTCTCTGCTTAGGGGCTCCCTTCCCCTAGCATTTCGGCATATTCCGGCCGTTTTCGCGCCGGCCGCGCTAGCTCCTCCCCCTTTTATGACGCGACGGCTAGCGTCGACGTCATGACGTCGGCATTTGCATAAAGTGCCGGGAACCGCTATTCCGGACCTTTTGGGGGCGTGGTCTCTATTTAGGTAACAGGGTATTTAAAGGAAACCTTTACTACTGCTCATTGCCCTGTCGTGGTTCTAGCTTGCTAGTCACTCAGCGCGTTCTTTATCTAGTGTTTCCGGTTTTGACCCTTGCTTGCCTTTTGTCCTGTTGTCCTCTCCTCTCCTTTGACTCGGATTGTATCTCGCTTACCTGTCCTCCGGCTCCCTTGACCTCGGCTTACCTTTTGACTATTCTTGCTTTGTCCTTACGTTAGTCCGGCCATTCTAAGGTCCGGTATACGTACCTCCTTCTGTGCGCACTCTGCGTATTGGATCCCTGTCAGTTTCCTGACAAATACAAGTAAGATTTTACTATCTTTAGGGAGGAAAAGGGGGGTAGATAGTGGGGTCAGGAATACATGTTTGTGTTCCTGACCCTATAGTGCTCCTTTAAAATAATAGCGTGGTGGCTAATCCTAGATATATAAATATATTCTGCTGCAGCATCATCCCGTATCTGATAAAGCCACCCACTGCTCCAGTCTGTCCCGAACACTGGCTCTTCCAGGGGAGCATCAGTGTATGTAGGTGTGTCAGTGTGTATCTGCATGTGTGTCAATGTATGCATTTGTGTGTCTCAGTATCTCTCTATGTATGTCTGTACCTGTGTATGTGTGCATCTCTATGTATGTCACTGTTTGCATCTGTATGTGTCTTAGTGTGTGTATTTTGTCTCAGTAATAAATGAGAGGGCTAATTGTGTGTTTTTTTTTTCTTTGTGTGGGCATTGATGGCGTGATTGCATGCTAGCAAGCGGAAGGGCTAGGTCAAGGGGCCCCAATCAAATACCTGCCCAGGGTCCAATCAATATTAAAGACAGCCCTGATCACAGCAACCTATTGCTACTCATGCTAATACTTCCTCATTCGCTCAAGCAGCACAGAGGGGATGATGGTCTGCTGATGACTGATTCATTCACATTCATTTATTTAACATTAAAAGCAGTTTTACATTCAAAGGAAGGACGGTGCCAGGGACGCCAGACACAATAACCACTTCAATGAGATGAAGCAGTTACAGTGCATACAGTGTCCCTTTAAGGCCTCCCTTGATGACCTGAGTGAATAAACAAATCTTCAGCAAGCGTAGATTGACAGAAAGGGTAAGAGATGTAGAGTGCAGAGAGTACTGTGTAACCCATTGTCTCCATATACACACAAACTGCATGAATGATCTAATGATATATACACTCTCTAACAAAAACCTGAATATATTCTAAAATAATTGCTATGACCATTTCAATTGTGCCAACTAGATCATATTTAAAGACATTTTGCAAGGTAGTTCACTATAAAGCAGAAGTGTACCTGGCTAAATACATTGTGGATTTCCTTAAGTCGTACAGCAGAGTTCATGTGGGTAGCTTCTATCTGTGTAATGCAAGCTGTTACACTGTATTTAAAAAAAAAAAAAAAACTAGTGCCAGCAGAAAATGAGACATGTTGGCTAGATTACTGGATCTAGCAAAAGACATTGGGCCAACCAAACATGCTTGGGATTTGTGTTACAAAACACATAAAAAGTGTTTGTGTCTGGCAGAGACTTTCTGCTCACTTTAGACTTTCTGTACCTAATTTAGATTCCTTAAAGGATCACTATAGTGTCAGGAAAACAAAGCGGTTTTCCTGACACTATAGTGCCCTAAGGGTGCCCCCACCCTCAGGGTCCCCCTCCTGTGGCGCCTTCAGCAGCTTACCTCATTGCAGCGCTGGTGACCTCTCCTCCCCATCAGATGTCAGCTCCCCCGTTCGACGTCAATGGAGCCGAATGTGCATGCGCATTCAAAGTGTCCATAGGAAAGCATTTCGTAATGCCTTCCTATGGACGCTCTGCACGATGGAGGCACAATTCGCCTCTACTGGCTGTCCAGAAGACAGCCACTACAGGCTAGATTAACCCAAAATGTAAACATAGCAGTTTCTCCTTCCTTGCTCAAAAACAAAGGTTATTGATGTTTGCTCCAAAAGATGCTTATCTGTATTCAATATTCTAAAAAAGTGTATAAACCTCGGAGGATAGTACACAGTTCTCCATGCACTTGCCTTTACTTTTTAAACCCTTGCTCATACCAAAAAAATGACATTTGTCATTCATGTTTTTATCATTCCCGTTTTGCATAAAATTTGTGTTGTTGTTGTTATGTGCCTACTGTGTTCAAGAAAAAAATGAAAGAACATGATATATTTATAAAGAAGGGCCCTGAGCAATTGAGATAAACACAAATAGTCAGTGTAATCCACACCCAAAAATTACTGGAATGAAAAAATGTTTGCTTTACCATTTGGTATCTGTAAATATTAATACAAAAATTATCTGTTAATTTGTACTGCAACTGAGTGAAGATGGGGGGAAAAAGTAATAATAAACAAATAAATATGAAAGGTTCAATGTCAATTGTGATTGTAAGTCACTCACGTCAACACAGCATGTACACACACTGTTTATCTCCCCTCTTTTCTTTACCTGCACAATCTCCAGCATTTCCTCCCGGCTGATGTAGCCATTTCCATCTAAGTCATACATGCTGAATGCCCACTTCAGTTTCTGCTCCAGCTTTCCTCTTGATGTGACGCTTAGGGCAATGATAAACTCCCGAAAGTCTATGGTTCCATCACCATTGGTATCAAATGTGCGAAACACATGCTCTGCAAACTTTGAAGCATCTCCATATGGGAAGAAGTTGGCATAGATTTTCTTGAACTCTTCCACATTGAGGATGCCAGATGGACAATCCTTCAGGAAGCCCTTATACCACTCCTGTAGCTCGTGATCCGAGAACTCTGTGTTTTCGCGCAGGTCCTGCAGCATCTCGGGGCGGAGCTTGCTGTTCTGCTTCCCCATGATCTGCAAAGCCCCAAAACACGGCCATTTGCTTATAAGCCCCTATAAATTCAATACTTAAGGTAGCAATTCACTATATTGGTTTATTGTAGGAAATCGACAACCAAAATGCAAAATCTAGACCAAAGTGACTAAATACTATAATATTTTCCTGCTTGGCTATTTTATACATTTTGCAGTTTGCACATAGTTTACAAATATCACAGCATGCTTGGATCACTAGTCAAAATAGCTGAGTCTGAAAGATTACTACCTACTCACCTATATTCACAACTCATAGCTTTTCCCCCATATTCTGCAGATTAGATTTTTAGTTCACCACTATTCACTGTTGAGCAAATAAATCCAAAAGACTTGAAACCAAGTTTTAGGAACCAATGCGCAACCTGTCAATGTTGATATCCAGTTATATAATTTACTAATCCTCTCCACACAATAGAACCGTTTGAAAAAGTGAATCTACAAATTACTGACTTGTAGCTCAACCGTAAACAGAATAAACACTGGTAGGTATATTCAATAAACAGCAAACTGTAGTGAATTGAAAATATCTGATTAAAACAGCCAGCACGTGTCTAAAGCTCCAATGGTGATTTATTTTACAAATCTTCTATTATGGCCTAGACCAGGCATAGGCAACCTTCGGTACTCCAGATGCAATGCTTTGGACTACACCTCCCATGATGCTTTGCTAGCATTATGGGTGTAAGAGCATTATGGGGGATGTAGTCCACAACATCTGGGGTGCCAAAGGTTGCCTATCCTTGGCCTAGACTTTGTTTTCAATTCACTGCAATGTGCAGTATAGTTATTAAATCACTGTGCAATGTTTAATCCCGAGGTGTCACATTGTGACCTGTCAGTTGTTGTTACACTGCCATTTCCATAATTTTAAGCCAACACTAGCCTGGTTTTGGCTGGTTTTAGTGTATACCCAAATATGTACTCTAGTAAATAGGTAAACTGTTTAGCTTGGATATTTAATCGCAGCTTTAAGCGATTGAATGCACATTTATGTGGCGTTCTTCTCTGACACGTTTTAACAATTCAAGTCCAATAATATGCACATTGCGAGTACTGTTTTAATTTCCTGTAAGTAAAAGGGAATTTAAGAATGATCAATTAAGAGTACTCAGTGTGATTCTATTTAATGGCATTATCCATCCTGGTAATGTAACTAGTCTCTCCTATTGTAATGTTCATCCCACAGATTTATAATGCTAAATGTGTAAGCGGATTCACTTCTATGTAGGATAAAGGGGTCTATAATATGGGGCTTGTGCCCCCACTCTTGAGACACTGGTGTTTGCCTGTGTGTTCAACACACGTGTGTCATCTCCTCCTTGTGTGAAAGGGGAATTCATTACCGGCTGGCTGATCTCAGATTATCCCAGGGTCGGTTGCAGCTGTTCAGCACAGCTGGCGTGTGCAGACTCTTTGTGCACACCAAACTCAGCAGATGTGACCCTCTAGGGGGAAGAGGCTCATGTGGGAACATTATGAGGCTTCCCTCTTGTTTAGTTGAGGGTGCACAGAGAAGCTGTCTAGTAAACGGTCACACTTACCCTTGAGAAGCAAGGGAAGCTCGCTTTTTGCTCCATCTGTAATCATGGGCAAATATAGTGGGCATTTAAAGTTGAAGTGATCAATAAAGTATAAATAGCTATGGATAGGGTGACCTTATTGAGCAAAAAGGCTCAATAAATGGTCTGCAGAGAATGTAGTGAGTTCAGGAGAATATAGAGTGTGTTTTACAATGCTAAATCATTGATGCATAAGTACTCGGCACACTTCCCATATGCAGATACAGAGATGTAAATAGATTAGAAAATATACGATTACGTTGTCTTTAGCTTTTGAATGTGGCACAGTCTGTATATAGGGCAGATGCTAAGGATTGCTTAATAGAAGTGACCACATGTGCATAATATTCTAACCTAGAATGCAATTGCATCTCTAATGGAAAAGGAAATCCATTAACCGTGTGTGTACTACTACGCTAATATCTCTGGTATAGAGAAAAAAGTTAGAATGATGGCAGGCAGGTAATGCTACTTGTTTAACCCCTTGAGTAACAGATTGGCGAAGCAATGTGTTGGATTAATTTTTATAACCCATTTAAAGCTCAAATGTTGACTGGTGGCTGGAATAAAAAAAATAACATTTTATTTGAAAAGTAAGGTCAAAGCTATTGCTTTATTTAAGAAATGCATTTAAAATTTAATTACCATCTATATGTGCATACATGTATACGTATATATATTACCGTGTCCCAATGTCCTGTGCCCGGATCAGGCTGTAATCTTCCAGTGCCGGTATAAACAGGTATATAAATGCCAGGAATACCCCTGTATGTCCAGTATCTGCTTTTAGGTGGTGCTGTGAAAATAAAGCTATATTGAAATGAAATATTACTTAAATCCTGTGCTGTTATCCATAAGATGCTACCACAAGATTTGTTATGCATAGACTGTCAGTGACATACTGCTCTCTATATGACATACAATTAAATATGAATGTGATTTGTGAGGGGACACACACACACATTATAGAGATAGAGAGAGAGATGCAGAACTCTTTTTGGATATATATATTCACAGAGTTCTGAATCTCAGTATGTTTTTAGGTATATGGATATAGTATTACCTTGTCCCAGTGTCTTGTGCCCAGATCAGTGTTCTCTCCCAGTGTCCCGGTAGAAACAGGTAAATAAAAGCCAGGTATAGTCGGCTATGTCCGGTGCCCGGTTTGGGTGTCCCTGTGTTTCCGGTGCCGGTTGGTGTCTGTCTCCCAGTATGACAGCCCCGGTATATCTGTATTGCTCTCTCCCTCCCTGGAGTAGTTGAGCGGATTGTGCAGCTTACACACCGGCCGGGATCTAACACTTGCAGCAACCAGGGGGGCGACTACTACACTCAGATATGTATGGACACCGGGCTCTGGGATCAGATTGGATTACGGCACAAAAGATACGTACCGATTAGTGACCAAATTTACAAAAATAAAACACATGACCTAAACCCGATCGGAGACATAACAGCCATAGAGCTGGAAGATGGTCCTTACCCTCAGTGCCAAATGGAACAGGCCATCTTTCAGCACGGACTGAACGAGTCCATACACTGACAGTGTAGAGGTACAGCGCTGTGTGCCTTGTGTGCAGCTCGGCCAAGCATCCCGGGTAATCATCAGCACCCAGGACAACACCTGACTCCAAGCCAATAGACATCTGTGTATCTGGCCTTCTTTTTATCTCATACTATACAGTCTGACTGTTTATTGTATACTGTAGAGATCTATAAATAATGTCACTTCTCACTTGGAACCCTGCAATATCCAGTTCTTTTCGAATGTTCTGTAAAGATGGGATGAGCATATGTCAATATCAGTTCTTTTCCTTAGAATGTTCTGTAGAGATGGGGTGAGCATATGTCAATATCAGTTCTTTTCATTAGAATGTTTCATTAGAATGATATGTCAATATCAGTTCTTTTCCTTAGAATGTTCTGTAGAGATGGGGTGAGCATATGTCAATATCAGTTCTTTTCATTAGAATGTTCTGTAGAGATGGGATGAGCATATGTCAATGTCAGTTCTTTTCATTAGAATGTTCTGTAGACATGGGGTGAGCATATGTCAATATCAGTTCTTTTCATTAGAATGTTCTGTAGAGATGGGGTGAACAAATGTCAATAACACTTGTGGGGAGAGAAGAAACAGACAGTAGTAATTGACTGTTGGGTTAGCTATGCATGCTTTTGCAAATCTGCCCCAAGAAGTTGGTCGCCAGTGAATAACTTGTTATGCTTCTGTCAAAAAATGTTTCTCCACATATGCAAATGTTCTCATCCACCTAAGCATTTGGTTCCTTTAGTAATTCAGCTATGTGGCGGTGGTTAATGGTTTTCAATCAGCTCTGCTAGTGTAGCTAGCAACAAACAACTTTAGCTGAATGGTACATGGTGACATTGGCTTCCTTGGACTCGGTTCCAGACTGCCAAATGTCAATTCTGTGCAAATATTATATCAATCGTCAGTGCGCTGTGAGCGTTAGCAACTGATGTAATGATCTCCCTTGGATGGAGTGCACCTGCAAGGGGAAGTTTCCTCTTCCTCCGTCTGTGCGCTCAATCTGCTTCCCTCCATTAACAAAATATACAAAAAAATAATTAACTAAATGAAGGCGCTAAAATCAGATAAACCACCTAATAAAAATAATATATAACTACCGTGTAAACTCAAACACTACACTACTTAAACCCCGTCCTCCTTTTTAAAAAAATGTTTTCTCTCTCCCCTCCTTTTCCTTTATCTCTTCCCTCTTTTCCATCTACTTTCTATCCCTTACCACTCCATCTCCACACCTCCCTTCCAAAAGATAACCACCTGATTTCCTTACCCAAAGGCCCTCTTAAAAACACGATTACATAAACACTCTGTACTCAATCGGACATCATCAGTTCGAACACAATTGTTCACTATCACACCAACCATCACGGCCCTGAAGAGGCCCCTAGCGCTGGGAGACCCAAGGCACACAGCCAAACTTCCAAAACTTAAGGCCCAGACCAAATTCTCGCTAATTATGGCTCAACTCAGATATAATGTTCCGTTTCATAAATTGTTTACTGTACAAGACATTCAAACTAACTGTGAGAAAATTGTTAAACAGTCTAGTGATCTAGCACGCTCTAATTTTCCCTTTTCTGTTTACCAACCTAAAAAAAAAAAATAATCAAATAAAGATTGTCAAATATTTTTTTTATAAAAGAAATATAAAAAGGGCTGCACATTACACTGTGTAAAAAGCTCAACACACAAACAATTATTCTCAAATGTTTGCATACCCTTGGAGAATTGGTTATATATGTACCATTCTTAAAGAAAACATGAGTGAGCAGGCAAAACACATTTATTGTATTTCTTATGGGATTCATTTTCAACGGTAGATTATAACAGAATTGCACAATCATAAAACAAAACATGGCAACAAAGAAAAAAAATTAAATGACCTCTATTCAAAAGTCTGCATACCCTTAGTTCTCAATACTGTGTATCTCCCCCTTTAGCATCAATGACAGCATGCAGTCTTTTGTAATAGTTGTCTATGAGGCCCTTAATTCTTGCAGGTGGTATAGCTGTCCATTCTTCTTGGCAAAATGCCTCCTGGTCATGCAAAGTCTTTGGTCATCTTGCATGAACCGCACGTTTGAGATCTCCCCAGAGTAAGGTAAGGAGACTGTGATGGCCACTCCAGAACCTTCACCTTTTTCTGCTGTAACCACTGGAGTGTCAACTTGGCCTTGTGTTTAGGGTTATTGTCATGCTGGAAAGTCCCATGTGCAGTCTTCCATTAGTTCCAGGACAGTGGGTTGTAGGCAGGGGGCCATGTTCTCTCTGTAGCTGCATAGTTTGCATGCGCAGAAGAAAAAAGATTAATGCAAGATGTTGTCAAGAGAAAAGTGATAAGACAAAGCGATGAAAGCAACACTTGCTATTATATTGCTAATAGATTTCAAAGTCAATTTCCAAAAATGCAAAGAAAATTGCATTATGGCTTAATGAAAACATTCGTGCCACAGAAGCAACAGACAGACAGGATTTTTAATTAAAGAAAAGGTTACCTGTGCTCTCTCCTAAATCCCTATGTAAATTTAAAAAAAAATGTATTGCATTACTGCCTTCTGGATTGTAATAGCCACTATATATAAAAAGTTTTATAAAACAGTGATATTTTCCATATTGTCAGTTACACTTGCTGTTGATTAAAAAATCAGGAATTATAACAGCATATTATTTTGTAGTCTGGAATTTCTAAGCAAAGGTTGCGGAGCAGCCTTGACGCCCAGCGAGTTATAAAGACAGATAAACATACTTCCATTCCAAGGAATTGATGTCTTTTTTTTTTTATATTGCTTTTTAAAACATTAATTGCAGTACAATGCAGTACACTGCAACATATCTTTTCTATTATATATGCTAACTAGCTTATATTTTTACATAAACAGAGAGTTGAAAATTATACCACCACCCCCTCCCCCCCCCCAGAAAATCTGTTAAAATGCTGCGTAGTTCTAACTTAAGCCATTTTTGTCTTAGCTTAATACAATAACAATTACTGCGTAAACAAATTCAAGGCCATACTCCGTAGTTCTAACTTACGCCATTTTGTCCCAGACTAAATGCAATAAAATATTCAAAGCCATAATTACAACATAATTATTGAAAGGTTTTATTTAAAAGAAAAGTTAAATACATTTACAGATTTAAATGTGACCAAAAGATACTAAATTATGTGTTAAGCCATGTTGGCCCAATTCATTAGAATAGCATAAGTATTCTATTATTTAAAGTGTACAATTCCTTCACATAATGACTTTGCTTACTCAGGTACAGACTTTAGTCTATTGCAATGGCAGAAGGATTAAAGTCTACCCATTTTTAAAGGGAAAGCTTACTTAAATCAGTGGTACTATCCCACTGTACCTGCAGTGACTACAATCAGATTAAACACATGTAATCTAAATGGATTTCTCTTGCATAAAATAAAATTAACTATCAATGTTGTTTAAATATAAATATATCAATGTTGTTTATGAATAAACATATAGACTAGGCATTAAATAGCTTTTACATACTGTACCAGGCTGCATTCAGCAGCCTGCTGTCTCAGAGCCAGGAACTTCTTTTTTTTATTAAAAAAAAAAAGTTTAAAATTCTAGAGAAAAGCCCACAGTGATGGGTATACCACAACCACACACGATGGGTAAAATAATTGCTTTTATAAAAGCTATATGGTGCCGAAAATATGTATAGAAATACAGATTAAGGAACAGCACACAAATAAAAATACAGTTTTACATTTTATAAGGCTACTTAGTGTAGCGGAGAGCTAGTATTTCATAGCCTACCTCCACTTGTAGATCCCAGTGAGGCTCAGGAACAAGTAATTATAAATCCATAGGCAAGGTATCCAGCAGGTAAAACAATGCAGTAGTATCCCAACAGCACTCCCAATAACTGGACGACACACAGTATCAGGAGCAGAACTAAAGATTTATTCAGACAGTGGTCTTATAAAGCATGCTCCCATGCAAGGGAGGGATTTCCATTCATTAATACAATAGCCAATCCTGTTCCGGTAACCTCCCACACATCCCCTCCCCTCAGCCTGCATCATAATCCCCTTATCCAGGACACCAATTACCCCGTTTCTGGATGTACCCCTAAACCTAGGGGTACCACTTTAAATTATACATCCCCTGCTAGCCCTGATCTGGGTGAACAACATATCCAAAAATCACCCAGATCAGACCAGGGGTTCGGGAAATTCATGGAGGGAATAAAATGACCGACCGCGCTGGAAGGAATAGCCGAATTGGGCTCCATGCGATGGGGCCCTGCTGTCGGTCCTGGAACAAGGGAATAAATCACACGAAAGCCTCTAGTTACAGAGACTGGGGAGGGTTCGACTGAATCCCCTCGTTTGGTTGTTTCTATCTACCGAACGAGGGGCCGTTCGGTAGTTTGGAACCGAACGGACCGGGCTTGTGTTGGTCTCAGCGGTGTTCGCCTAGTCGAGTGTCCGATTTGAGTTCCAGACACTCGACGGCAAAACACCGCTGTTCGGGAGTTTTAAAATGGCCCCCGCCACGTGTTCGTTTCCCGAATGGCGGCCACCCCCGAGAACAAAGGACTGCTACTCAGCTTGTCAATTACCCGTTCGCAACAATGTTGCAACGGGTAATTGAAGGCACACTTCACACAGGGGAGGTCTGACTGTTCGGTAGTTTCATTCGAACAAACTAAGGGAATGAAACTACCGAACAATCAGACGAACACAATACATTTAACACATATAACTTTGCCATTTACACGAATGCAGTCAAAACCAATACAATTCCCAGGACAGCCCAGTGCCATCCGCTACACTTAGGATCACCCATCTCAATTCATATATGGCTAATTTTAATTATATGTAGTAAGAGCATTGTGAAGATATATATGAAATTAATCTCATATTGCAAAACCTGCAATATTCTAAACAGACAATAACATTTTGAAGAAAAATAAATAAAAATGCAGTGTCGAAGTGATAATGCTCTGATATATAAAATAAGATTGCATATCAAATATCTGCTATATGA